TGTTTTGATCTATTTCGAAGTTGCATGTAGTGATATTGGTATCACTGCAAGGTTTATAAATGTAAATCTATCAAACTACATTTTCATTTTTGTAATAGTTTTACAAAATTGTCATTTGGTAATAAATGACCTTTTTCAACTTCAAACGGTGTTGTGTTGGTATCAGATAGTATAATATTACATCAAACAGAGCAACCTTTAGTGCGAGTATCAGGAAGATGGGCATAAATAACTTATATAACCAACAGTGTGTCATTGTAAGTAATTTAATATTTATAAAGTATATTAGTAAACTTTTGTAGACTAGATTTTATAAATTTCCCGATTCCCTAATGCATTTCCTGGGCTTGTCGGCAAATAAAAGATTGTATTGTCATTTGACCAAGATATTTAAAACAGACTTCATGCATGTACAAATGTATAGGCTCTGCCTTTTAACACTCCAAATAAGATATGTTTGCAAACCATTCCCAACTAAAAATACTTAAGCAAAGTTTATAGTAAAATTTTACTCGGAGAAGCCCTTCCTCAATTGAATTGATGAAATTTATGGATGGTAGGTCAAACTAATATTCTCTTTTTCTTTTTTTTTCAATACTTATCTTTTTTTTACTTTTGTCTTGGATCATTAACCAAACATTAACCAGACATTATCCAAACTATTACTAAATAGTAAACTATAGTTTGCCGTAGTTAACTACAGTAGACCGCTGCTCAAATTTTAATTCTTTACCTGGAGTTGACTTGCGTCAAGTTAACTACGTCGTCTGAGACATGAAGAGTTCCATCCTCTCCAACGGAACAAACATTATACAGGGCCTGGGGATTCTCCTGGAGCTGGTTCCACCAGATCACCGTGTAGGGAGGAGTTAATGATGTATCAGAACCTAAGGCTATCACACTCATCTTTGGTATATCCCCAAAAACCCTTTAAACGGCTCTTATTTTGATGAAGATCTGTGGAGCACTTGAAAAACGTACTTAACTTTATCCGGATGATTTTAAATTTAAATCCGGGACTTTTCTGCATGGTAACTGTGTAACTTAAAGATTTTTCACTAATTAAAACATTTAATGTATATTTTCACATTGACCTCTATACATGTACTTAAATGTTGGGATTTTCAAAGATCATAGTTTTGTTTCTTTTTTACAACTGTACAATTTGACATAGAAACTTCAAAGAATACCTGAACTTTCAATTTAATAAGGACTTTATGTTTTGTGGAATATTAATGCATAAAGAATGTTTCTCAATTTATCACAGAATATTGAGTTGGTCATTTGACAGTTTTAGTTGAGCAATTCCATAAAGCATTTTATGAAGTAAATAAAAGGGGTTAACGAAAACTTATCCATCTCAGAATGTTGTGAAAGAGTACAAATTGTAAACAGGTCATTTAAACAGTCTTCTGAAAACCTCTTTAAAAAATTCGGTAGATGTAAGGGATTAAAATGGTCGACTTAAGACATGGTCTTTTTTAAGAAAATAGGAGCAATTTTGATTTTTTTTTCATACTACGAAAATTCTTTCTCAGACGGTTTACTGTACTTAAAACTTTATAGTTTTTTTTTTATATTTTTAAGTGAACGTACATCAAACCAGTTATTCAAATACATGTACATTCCTGTATTTGGGTAAAGCTCAAGCATCGGAACCGGAATGTAGGGCTTAGTCCCCTCTTGTTTTGCAAAGATATACTTGTACATAATATGGGCATTGAAAATTGGGTGTAAGCATTTTTGGTCCCCTACCCACTTTTAACTAGCCCCAACCCCCACTTTCAATTTGCTACCCACGCATATGGATAGGAAATATAAAGAGTTGGGCTAATAAACCGATTACAACATTTCATAAAACATGTGGAGATAACAAACAGTATTCAAGATTAAAAGTCCATGAAATAGGAGGAGAGCAAACACGGACCTTCAAAACATCAAAGGTGGGATAAGATGCTATGGAGGAGTGGGCATCACCTGCCGACCGATCACACCCACTGTGTGCTCCTTATCATGATCGTGAAACAACGAAAAAATCCGTCGTCAATTCAGTGTATAAATAATGGACTAACAATAAATAATAATAAATAATAAATTGCATTACCTGACAAGGTCATTGTATTGACCATAAAACTTACGGAATGATGACATTAAACAAGACTGCTGATATTCTTGTTTCATCTACTTTTTTGACAATAATTTACGTCGTTTCAGAAATTGTTCATGCCTAGAATATGCTTTTGCGTATCGAATCAACTGATATACATAAACTCCATATGCAGGAGATGATGATATATTCCTGCATAAGTAAGGGAAGTTGACGATAGAAAAGTTAAAGTCATCGCGTTTACAATAGAGCTTGTTTGTTAGATTACCATTAGGTCTTTTTCAAGTAAAATATCCAAATATTAAACAGATGTGTCAGACTCTGTGGTATCTTTCATTTCAAGCTCACCAGGATATATCGTATCGGCATAGGGATGGAAATTACAATTTATTTGTTAATTGACAATATGTCGTCGATATACTGTGTACAGGGTTAATTCGCTCCGTGTTATTTTCGCCCTTTCATGCTTGCAAACAATTGTGTCCCGTTTCAAATTCGCCCAGTCATAGTTTTGTTTAAGGAATTATACTGTATTGTTAGAATTCACCCCGTTTTAAATTCTCCCAAATAAGGATAGGACGAAAGGGGCGAAAATAAAGCGGGGGCGAAATTTTCACTGTATACAAATGTGTAGTTAAAGGCCACAGCCAGTGTTTTTTTCATTTAGCGCAAAGTCTGCTTCATATGAATACAAAATTAGGTCTGTTGATAACGGGGCGCAATTGGTACCCATGGGAATTCCAATAGATTGTTGGCAGACCTTGTCTCCATAAACAATCTAGATATTGTCAATCAGAAGCTCAAACATCTTTTTGATGTCAAAGTCAGAGTACTTGTGTGTACAATCAGAATGTTTTGACTAAATTATTTGGCAAATGAACAATGACAAGGTAAGCAAATTTACGAGTTCCATCTTTATTGAAAAAGCAACTGTCAATGATATCAAAAGCCTGTCGCACAAAAATATTGTCGCACAATACTCTTGAAGTTTCTCCTTCACTTCTGTCAATATCTTCGTGAAAAGTATAGAAAGAGGCTTGGCAGAACATTTACTGGAACCCCCCCCCCTCTCTCTCTCTCTCTCTCTCTCTCTCTCTCTCATTGATATTGCCTATCAGCAAGAATACACGAAATGTTTTTTTTTATAAACACAGAGATAACTGATAAATAAATCAATAAGAACTTAATACACCAAAGTTGACCAAACACAAATATTGTCATGAACATGTTGCTCATTAATCATGATACACTGATAAACCTAGTTTTATTTTCAAGACATTTATTTCACTTTCACATGAACTTCAACACTCACCGGACACTACTGGACAATCATGGAACTCGAAGATGACATCAGTACATTTTATTGCTCTGTGAATCTAAAAAAAATCAAAATGTATCATTTTTCTTGCACATATTAAATATACAGGTATCAATAAAGCTAACAAACAGTTATTTATACGTCCAGCTAGGACCATTTTAAGGGGAGACAGGACACATGTCACATGACTAGAAAGACGTCTTACGTCATAATCAGTGATGATATACATGTTAAACGTTAATAAAATCAACCGTTCTTGTGTAATTTTATACTAAATTCTAAAATTGTTTTTAAACATTTAATTTTAGAAATTGTTATTCACAAAATTTTTAAAGATCTTGCCATCATTTAGATATTGTGAAGTGGCCCAATCCACACATTTGTTTCTCTTTACCCTACAGTTTGATGTCAGTGACGTCATAGACGTAGTGTTTGAATTTTCAGTGTAGCGAGATCAAGTACACACACACGTCATGATCAGTTTTATTTCATAATAAACAGGTCACAGTCAATGTATCGTGATATATTCCAGAAACAGATTTTTTGAAATTGATATTTTTTCGTGTTTAGTGGCAGAGATTCTCTCTATTTAGATAATTTTGAATGTTTATGTTTTCGTGTGACGTCACAATTGATTTCCCGCACTCGGAAAATACAAACGTGAAGCGTTTTTATCATGCTTACGTCTAATTCAACGATGTCCTGTGCGATATTGAGGTAAGCTTCACCCTATGATATTTATGCAGTAAATCATTACGACGAAGGACTGACATTCAATCGTAAATTAAGTAATATTTATTGACAGAATTTCTTCCCAGTGAGATTTTTGGCGGCGAAGCTGCCTTGAAAAATGCAGAAATTATGCAACCCAAATACTATATTTAAAACAATTGCTTTCAGATAATTTAAACATTATGAATATTTTGAAATATTTGAGTATATGGTGTTATTTATCATATTTATCGTTTGTGCGTAAAAATTCGCATTATGGACTCCGTTATGGGCCCGTAAACATGAAGTATCTAAACTCCAAACAAACTCTAAACAGGGTGGTATTTGTGGGGCGATATCTTTAAAATAAGTCAAGAAATCCCATGACAGGACCGTTTTAAAATGTTAAGTATATATTAAATTAGTAATATAAAAAATACGAAAAAAATTCATTGACAGGATTTTTTTCAGCTAAAGGTCCTGTTCCTCCTTAACTTAAACGTAACATAGTCTAGCTACTTGAGTCAATACAAGGAGCCTACAGGGGGTGGTTACTCTTTATACACCTTACTTCACCATTCTGATTTTCAGCTGTCCATGTTTTTAAGCCAATTTTTACAGATATAGATTTTTATAGTTTGTAGACTTTTGAGATCGACCACTTTTTGTAATCTTTAGTTTTTGCTGAGTGTGGACTTGATAAGAATAGAGAATCGCCTTTGAATAGCTGACTTTGTGAATATCAATACTGTGATTGCCGAACCCATCTGCGGACAAACTGATAGGTGAAACATCAACAACAAGTATCCATGACTTTCGCTACATTGTTTAAGTTGAAAAACAAATTGCATGAGTAGAGGGCTAAACCAATGAACAACTACAAAATTATTAAGAGTATTATTGATTGCCTCTTAAACATGAAAGGGAGCACATTTTAAATACATTTTTTAAATACAAATACGTGAACTAACCCGATAGCATGGACCCCCAAAAAGCAACCAGATAGGAAAACAGCAGGCGATTAAAACCTGATCATAGCAGCACTCGATTGGTGTATTGTAGTTGTGGATGAAGATCTCCATGTGTCCGGAGTCAGAGCTGCTGCGAGAGTTATCCCAGTAAAAGTTTGGATCCGCCATCCCACTGAACCAGTGCTTCACAGGAGGACTGAAATCGAGCTACAAAATATTTATACTGTGAAAAAAAAAATTCTACAGAAGATTAACTTTTGAATACTTCAAAATTCTATAACATCAAAACATCGACATTTCTACACCTTTATACAACAATACAACAATTCATCATCATTCATGATAAATAATAATTCAGACTTTTTGATATCATAGACAACTGCTTCTTCAATAAAATCTGAACTCAGAAATGTTCACATATTGTGATTAATTATCATTAAAATTACTTCGGTAAGAATCACTCTGAGTGTCAAAATTAATCTGAAACTGAAATTAAAAGGATGCTGGAGTCTCTTATTGACAACAATCATCTTTTCGGGGATCAAGTTTTCCAACAAACTGTTAGACTACCGATGGGCACTAAATGTGCTCCTTTATAAGCTAACCTGCCTATATATATTTCTATAAATCAAAACTTATTCAAAAACTTCTACATAAGAAGAGGTGTCTACCACTTATTCGCTTCTCAAGAGCTTGCTCTCAGTAAGATCATGTTACTCACTGATAAGGATATCAACAACTTAGTTAAAAGTCGGCATTTTAAGTTTTATATTCGTTAAAATGACCTTGTTAGCAAGTATAATCTTTGGGTCGTATGTTGGCTGATTTGTTTCATACCAATTGTTAGGCCTTTGTTTTTTTTTTACTGAATTCGACTACGTTATGTGTCATCTAACTGATTAATACAGTGGAAGTGCCCGGTCAACAGGGGATGCTTGGCTAGGCCTGATCTCACATCTGCATTTCCTCTGGTCCGTGTTTTATGTCCTTTCACATTTTTGTATTGTTTATAGATTTTTTTTTTAGATCTATTACGTTGTCTTTACCTTTTAGATGAATATGGGGTCTATTTCATATCGGAGGGAGGGGGTGTCATTGATACTCATGAGTAACACCATATCAGTTTTCATCCATTGATTCAGAGTAGAGACTTTTCAGAGCCAAAAAGTCATTATAGACTAGCTGTTTTCATAATTCCATTTAAACCAATGTAATAGACTGAAGCTTTCTGCAAGATTGCCAATTCAGCTTTATTTAAACAATGAAACTACAAATGCCAGTTCCAGTTTTTACCTTTAGACAGAACCTTTTTCCCTCCTGCATTTTTTGGGTGACTTCATTAAGCTTGTATGAAAGGAATTCTCGAATTGATGGATGCCTGGTGTTTACAAGGACGACAAACTCTCCTGAAGGTATGGAACAAAATGATCAGCAAAAAAAAAAAAAAAGAAAAAAAAAAGAAAAGAAAAGAAAGGCGTTTAGTATAAGGCATCGAAGTGTTTCACTACTTCGGCAGCTTTACTCTGCTACAGCATGGTTTAGATCTTACAACACGGAGCACATGTGTGTTGCATTGGGGCTCGTACGGGTTTACCCGGTCAACAAGGGATGTTTACTCCTCCTAGGCACATGATCCCACCTCTAGAAGATTTGGAGGTCCATGTTTTTGTTCTCTTTTCTGTCTTGTTGTAAATTTCTTTCGTTGTCTTTACATTTTGCATTATCCTTGACCCGACTTAAGGATTATGTTATTTATGATATTATGTCCTTCTATATTTGTATTATTCAACTAGTTGGGAGTTGATACATTTAACAAAGGTATTTCCTTTTTAACTGTTTTGTCTCAGTTTAAATGTTTTGCTTTCTGAGCATCATTCCTCCAGTTAATAAAAAAAATAAATTTACAAGGTATGATTAAGAATCTAAAATAAATACTTTTCCAGATCCTGGATACATCAATGCCCTCACATTCTTTTTTTGTTTGATGTGTTACTTTGATGTGGAATAATATAGGCTTTGTCAAAAGATCATTCCTCAAGTGCTGTAGTTCTTCTAAACTATCGACTTTTAACTCCCTGCAATGAAGGAAACTGTGATATTAATTTTATGAATTATCCATGAAATGACTGTATCTGTACATATGTGTAATGCTGAGGCAAGCATTAAGAATATTGTTTTTCTTACCAGATGTCATAGAAATATTATTGACATTCTAATGCAGGTGACTGAAACCCAGCAATTTAATAAAATATAATTATCATGTAAGTTACTCTCAGAAAGTCCTAAACAAATGACCTTAAATTTTTTCACTCGAAGTTTTGGCAGGATAAATTAAGTGGTGTTTTCCATTTAATGCTTTTTATGTGTAACGATTTGTTCACACGGCGGGTGTGACCGGTCGGCAGGGGATACTCACTCCTCCATGGCACCTGATACCACCTCTGATGTTTCGGGGTCCGTGTTTGCTCTGCTCTTATTTTGTATTGTTTTATGGACTTTGAGACTGAATACTGTTCGTTATCTCCATATCCTTCTTAATTTAATTACTGAATTGTTCAGAATTTGACACCTGTGTCAATTACACCACTACAGTGTCTTATATCAAATATCTCTCAATCTTACTTCAATTCTGAATTGATCCAAACCCCTGTCATATCCATAACATGATCTGTTGCGAATCTGTTACGCTGATTTATTTCAATGACCAAACTTTGCATTTTCTCAAATGAACTAAAAATTTGTTTGAATTATTCAATGTTTATATTTATCATAAATGTGTTATTACTCTCTTGCTGAATATTATTATATGAAAACTTACCTATTTATATTTACAAAGTCGAGGAAACGATAATTGAAATACAACCACATGCAACGGTCGTCTCTTTAAAACAATTAAATGTAGGTAAGTACAGATAAGGGAAAGAAAATCTTAAATTGTGATGTAATGTCAAGATTTTGCAGAAAGCATACAAAGGGTCTTAAAAAATCGCAGTAGAAAGCAGGGCGGCTTATGAAACGATATGATTAATTTATTATCATACACTCCAGTACTAGTTTTGTAACATTAGTCCATTTGTAGTCAGCGATTGCATTTCACAGGATTTCTTTTTTTTTTAAACTTATTTGTTACATAGCTTCCTTAAGCGTGTTTTTTAAACAGTTGATTTTTTAACAATCAGAAATAAACGAATATTATTACAAATTCCATATTTTATTTTGATTACGTAATTAAAGCATTAGCAACAAGAGAGAAAAAGAGGAGAAAGTAGTCAGACGGTATTCATGAGAAACTAGCCTCGTTCTTTCATTTTTTCTTAATTCTGTCATTTTTGGAAGGGACTGAAGTGTTGTAGTTCTGTGCGATATCATACGCGTTCAGGGAGTTCTTCCCCTCGGACCTGAGATACCAGTAGGAAAGGTGTAAAGCCCATCAGATTTATAGATATCGAAAGCTTGAAACAGTTTAGAGTAACACATCTCTTTGCAAAAATCTATTCATGGTAGCTCAGTCGGTATTTAAAACGCTCGATCAGTGATGGAAAGGTCGTGAATTCGAATCTCGGCCGCGAATGACAAAAGTCGATAAAAAATGGGTAGCAACTGTTCCTTCGCAATGCACTCGGCACTTTGAAGGAAAGTTGCGGGTCAGGACTTCATCGTCGCAAACCACGACCAAAATATACGATCCTCTCCCATTTTGGCCGTGGTTGCATGAGAGGAATATATCTTGTTGTACATTAAAATATTGACCAATGCGAGTAAAGCATAGTCGGATAATAAACTTTGATGTGACCTTTCAATACCCAATCGCAGTGTACGAAATATTTCTTGTATGCCGCTGATGTAAATTGACTGAATATGACGTTTCAATATAGAGGCGTAAATATTCAAGATTACGACACTTTTTGTAATCAGGCAGCTACGGGTAGGAGAGAGCTATACGTATGCGGACTCCTGACCGTGGCTTTAGACGATGCGGGTCCTTCGGATGAGACCTTAAAAACTAAGCCCCCGCGTCACTCATGCGATGGAAACCAAACAAAACACTTGGAGCTCAGGAAATACCGGCCTCTGAAACATCGAATGTGGGATCAGAAACCAAACAAAACACTTGGAGCTCAGGAAATACCAGCCTCTGAAACATCGAATGTGGGATCAGAAACCAAACAAAACACTTGGAGCTCAGGAAATACCGGCCTCTGAAACATCGAATTTGGGATCAGACACCATAGAGGAACGACAGTTTTAAATAAAGATATGGAGATAACGAACAGTATACAATCTCAAAGTCCATAAAACAATACAAAATAAGAGCAGAGCAAACACGGACCCCCGAATCATCAGAGGTGGGATCAGGTGCCATGGAGGAGTGAGCATTCCCTGCCGACCGGTCACACCCGCCGTGTGCTCCTTGTCATTATGATCAGGAAATAACCGAAAAAATTCGTCGTCAATTCAGTGTATAAATAATGGACTAACAATTGGTATGAAAAACGTCAGTCAGCATTTGACTCAATGATAAACTGTATTTGCTGACAAGGTCATTGTATCGACCATAGAACTTAGGAAATGATGACTTTAAACGAGACTGCTGATATTCTTGCTTCGTCAACTTGCTTGTCAATAATTTATCTCGTTTTAGAAATTGTTCATACGTAGAGCATGCTCTTGCGTATCGAATCAACTGAGATATATATACTCCGTATGCAGGTGATGAAGGTATATTGCTGCATAAGTAAGGGAAGTTCACGATAGAAAGGTTAAAGTCATCACGTTTATCATACTTGGTTGTTAGATTACTATTAGGGTCTTTTTCAAGTAAATTATCCAAGTATGAAACAGAAGTTTCGGAATCTGTGGTATCTTTTATCTCAAGCTCACCAGGATATATCGTATCGACGTAGGAATGGAAATTACTATTATTAATTGACAATACGTCGTTGATATATCTAAATGTCGAGTTGAAGGCCACAGCAAGTGTTTTCTTCTTTTCACGCATAAGATTTTGCATAAATTCTGCTTCATATGAATATAAAAATAAGTCTGCTAGTAACGGAGCGCAATTTGTACCCATGGGATTTCCAATACACTGTTGGAATACCTTGTCTCAAAAAAACACATAGATCTTGTCAATCAGAAACTCAAGCATCTTCTTGATGTCAACTTCAGAGTACATGTGTGTGCAATCAGAATCTGTTTTAACAAAATAATTTTGCAAATGACCAATGACGAGGTAAGTAAATTTACGAGTTCCATTTTTATTGAAGAAGCAGCTGTCAATGATATCAAAAAGCCTGGATTTTAATTTGTCGTGGGGGTTGAAAAGTCGTAAGTTTTTATGCTGTTGATTTTTGTAAAGTCTTGTGATTTCAGAGTGTCCAAAAGTTCTTTAGAATTTTTTAGTATCCACATCTGATTCTTTAAAGGAGAGGACGTTCTAAGTTTTTAAGAACTTGTGTCCAATCCTTTTGTTGTAACATCAAAACAATAACATATGTTCAAACCATCTGATTCACACCGCTTCTTGAATATATAGTTGCACAGTACCCTTGAAGTTTTTCCTTCACTACTGTCAATATCTTAGTGAGGAGTAACGAAAGAGGCTTAGTTGAACATTTACTGGAACCTGCAATGTATCTTTGTTTGTAAGGATTCTTATGAAGTTTTGGAATCCAATATATATATGGTAGTTCAAATTCATTTTGGATCTGTGGAATATTGAAAGTATTCAAAACTGACCGGTGAGTTTGAAGAATTTCTTCCTTAGAAAGGGAAGTATGAGTATAAGTAGGATTTCCACTTGTGGAATTAAATCCAAGTTCTTCTAGAATGCAATTTTTATAATGAGCCTTACAAACGAAGACAATGTTGTTACCTGCTTTGTCGGCAGGAACCAGTACGTACTGATCGTGTAATCTATCTATCTCCTTTTTCACTACACAGAAGGATATATCGTTTTCATATTACCCCTCAGTCTTTTAATACGGGACTTTAATATGGATCTGATACATTTAATCCATTCTGACAAGGTGTCAATGTCTTTTTCATATCTTGCCCATCGTCTGGCGTAATTTTCCACAGAATCCATAATATTTATGAAATTCCGACGCTAGTTGAAGGATCGGGGTTCCCTATATTTAGGACCTTTTAAAATAAGTGATCTAAGGTCCTCATTACGAACTATATTTACGTCACCTGTAATAATGTGGCCAGCAGGACTATAGTTATAGGGCGAAGAAGAACATGAACACGGAGGAGGATTATGTTTCAGATAGTCGGTATCCAGCCCATGTAAAGTATTTTTGTAATTGAAAAGTTTGGAAGCAATGGTCGATGTATATTTGTAGGAAATACAAGGTGTAGTCTTTAACTTGAAATATGGTGGAATACAAGACCGGATCCTTTTGTGATTAAGAATATTACTTATATTAACCGCGTCAATTCCTTTATTGGCATATTGAAGTTTAAGGAAAGACGGATTGTTTTAGTTGCATTTTCTTCCGTGAAGCGTGCGGGTTTAAAGAGCCTATGATATGCAATATCCATAATCACAGAACCGAGTCTATATTCAGGTGACGAGGAATCTAAAATTGGATGTTCCTTGGCCTTTTCAAGAAGACTATTTAAAATACATTGCGTTGATATTCTAATGCCTCAAAACATTATACATATAAATATTGATATGTAAAGTGGTCTTTAATTTTATTTGCATTGATTTATAATATGCCGTGTTTGTTACGCTGATGTAAACGTTTTCTAGCCCCCCCCCCAAAAAAAATGATGTCTTACCATTTTTATAATATATCATAAAAATCAATGAAAGCCTGCTCGAACAGAGATACGCAAAACATCTTTCAATTTTAAATTCAACAAAAATATTAAATCAATATTTTTTCCACAGCAGTTGAATCAAACCAAGCAACTTAACCATTTATTTTACAATTCAAATGTCCAAAACAAACACAAGATGCAATTTAATGTATAATAAAATCAACATAATACTACAGTAGCCCGAAACATAATAAATACTTAAGGCATTAAATCTAAATTGATATTTTGAAAAATGAGAAGCGTGTTGTATTATAAAGAAGATCTTTGTGTAAATTGTAAAGGCCAACAACGAAATTCGACATAATGGGCTCTTTATTAAATATACTTACCAAGTGACTAGGTTTGGAAAATGAAAAAAGGCAAACATCTTATCATTATGCATTTGAGATATAAAGCTAAGAAAACGAAGGCATATAATAAAACTTAAAAAACGTAGTTTGTTATAACAAATTAAATTCGTTAAAACGAATTAATTCCCAAGTTTGTTCTAACGAATTAGATTCGTTTAGTCAAATTCAATAATCAGCGCCTATAGAAAAATGTATATGAATTCAAAATAACTGTTTGTCGAAACAGATTAAATTCATTATAACGAATTCAAAGAAATTGTTATATTACGAATTAAATTCGTTATATCGGATTCAAAAATATTTTTCGATAGGTCCTAAATGGACTTCCGTAGTTAAAGCACAAAACAGGATTTCATGTTTTAAGCCAATCACTACATAGCAAAACTGTAGGAAACTAAAATACAAGATAGGTATATAATATTATGTTAAAGTGAACTAAAATGAACAAGGAAACAAATGCATGAAAACGTTATACTTCAAAAGTAATTGGACGTTACAATAAAAAAAAGATATCAAAATATGTGTATAGAACAAATTGACATAAAAAAGTTACACTGCACAATTGATTGGACATTTCAAAAAATATGCATAATTCAACAAAATGCAACATGTCACATCAACTATTAACAAATGTACACAGGAAAGTATTATTTTCGTAATGATAACAAAATTTATTATCATACATACACTAAGTAGGAAACATGAAATACTGTATGAATGGAAATTTTAACCAGACGCAAATTTAGCGATTTGTCCATGAAAATTAGAATTTCATTTTTAGCGAGATGAAAATTTAGCGATTTAAAAAGCTCACTAAAAAGCTATTACAAATAAAGCTCAATTGATTTTAGCAATATTCAATTTTAGCGATCTTGGCTACCTCCCTAATAATGCCAAAATTAAATCCTCGCTAAAATATCTGCTTATACGGTAAAACATAGTGAAAAACCTTTTTTGTCAGTTTTTCAAAGATTTAAAAATTCTGCATTTTTTTTCAATTACATATTAAATTCAATTGCCTTTAAACCCTTTAAAAAGTGAAATCAAAATAAAACCAGAAGTCTCTGTCGAGACTGTAGCTCTACTGGTATGTACTTATCAAAAACCATTGCACTATTTCATGTATCTTTGTGTAGTCTAATTGTGTGCCAACTTATTATGGAAATTAAAAACCGATGCACTATTCTATGTATCTTAGTGTAGTCTACTTGTGTGCCAAGTTATATTGAAATCAGACCAAAACTGTAGAAGGAGTAGCGTTTTTAAGGAATTTCACAGAAAATTCTATTTTTAGTAACCATGGTAACACCGTTCATTGAAATCAAAAACCGATGCACTATTCTATGTATCTTAGTGTAGTCTACTTGTGTGCCAAGTTATATTGAAATCAGACCAAAATTGTAGAAGGAGTAGCGTTTTTAAGGAATTTCACAGAAAATTCTATTTATAGTAACCATGGTAACACTGTTCAATGAAAATAAAAACCGATGCACTATTCCATGTATCTTAGTGTAGCCTACTTGTGTGCCAAGTTATATTGAAATCAGACCGAAACTGTAGAAGGTGTAGCGTTTTTAAGGAATTTCACAGAAAATTCTATTTTTAGTAACCATGGCGACACCGTTCATCGAAATCAAAAACCAATGCACTATTCCATGTATCTTAGTGTAGTCTACTTGTGTGCCAAGTTATATTGAAAGCAGACCAAAACTGTAGAAGGAGTAGCATTTTTAAGGAATTTCACAGAAAATTCTATTTTTAGTAACCATGGTAACACCATTCATTGAAATTAAAAACCGATGCACTATTCTATGTATCTTAGTGTAGTCTACTTGTGTGCCAAGTTATATTGAAATCAGACCAAAACTGTAGAAGGAGTAGCGTTTTTAAGGAATTTCACAGAAAATTCTATTTTTAGTAACCATGGCGACACCGTTCAACGAAAATAAAAACCGATGCACTATTCTATGTATCTTAGTGTAGCCTACTTGTGTGCCAAGTTATATTGAAATCAGACCAAAACTGTAGAAGGAGTAGCGTTTTTAAGGAATTTCACAGAAAATTCTATTTTTAGTAACCATGACAACACCGTTCATCGAAATCAAAAACCGATGCACTATTCTATGTATCTTAGTGTAGTCTACTTGTGTGCCAAGTTATATTGAAATCAGACCAAAACTGTAGAAGGAGTAGCGTTTTTAAGGAATTTCACAGAAAATTCTATTTTTAGTAACCATGGCAACACCGTTCATCGAAATTAAAAACCGATGCACTATTCTATGTATCTTAGTGTAGTCTACTTGTGTGCCAAGTTATATTGAAATCAGACTAAAATTGTAGGAGGAGTAGCGTTTTGAAAAATTGTTTACAGACAGACGGACAGACAGACGGACAGACAGACAGACAGACAGACAGACAGACGGACGGACGCCGGACGCATTACTATCGCATAAGCTCTTCTGGTCTCTGACCAGTAGAGCTTAAAATGAAATCAGTTCGGTTTCGGTGTAGAGGTCTCACCTGCAAGACATACATCTTACATTACTGTGGTAGTAGGTCGCGATGAAAATATTAAATTTTTCGCACTTTTTCAGAGCCAGAAGAATAGTAACATTAAATATACAAATAATTGAATTATCATAAACAGAAAATGCACATAAAGCATGGAATAAATGCAAAAAAAAAAAGAAAATAATAATTTCGATAGGAAAAGTACACTTCGGCCACAGGTTTCAAGTGTGCAACAAGGTACGTGTAATGAATTTGAAGGGTTTATATGCCCTATTTGACAGTGCCTATTTATGAATAATGTTCAGTTTTAATGAAGTATTCTTTCAAGATAAAAGCTATTGTATGCACAGAGTTTGATCGATAAATTTTGTTCATTGCTGGAAACTCGGAAAATGTAATTGTAATACAAAAATTCTATTGGTTTTCTTTTTTCCCACCAAAAGCTCCCATTAGTAAACCACCGACCATCACAGCAGCTCCCGTCCACATAATGGCACCCAGGGCTTTGTCAGCCTGTAAAACATGACGATATTATAACATGTAGGGGAATTGATAAATATTTGTCATCAAAATAAAAATGCCACCAAGAAATGATTCAAAATCTTTGTTTTTCTAAATGAATGTGAAGGTTAATAACAGTGCTTGTTTAAATCTCCATTCAAGCAACTTTAATTTAACAATAATGACCGAGAAAATACAGTTTTGTTTTCTAAAACAGGTGCTGTATGGAGTAGTTAGAAAACCCAAGAAGACCGCTCAAACCCGCCGTGTGCTCCTTGCCATGATCATGGAAAAGGAAAAACCCATAGTTCCACTCAAAATATGAAAGAGTCGGTGAAGATTCGACCTAAAGAACGAGGTTCAACAAACAATGCCAATTTGCAAATACTGACTTTAAATGAAATTGTTGATAGCCTTATTTAATCAACTTATCTGTAAATAATCTGTGTAGTAGAACAGGCTCTTATGTATCGAATCAAATGAATGAAATTGACTCGATCAGTATGAAGGTGCTAAATTATGTAATGCTACATTAATAAAGGTATTTGATAATAGAAGAGCTGAAGTCATAACGGTTATGATTAAGTGTAGTTGTTCAATTGTAATCAACATCTCTCTGCAGTGAAAGAATCGATAATGAAGCACGTATCTGACTATGTGGTACATTTCATTTCGAATTTAATGGAAAATAACGAATCAAAGTTAAAATGAAGATACGATGGGTTATCAAAAAGTTCGTGGACTGAGGCTATAAAATTAGTACTGTGTAGTCTGAGCTTACAAAATCTATATGGGGCATAAAACAACAAAAAATAAAGTAATGTTGAAAATTTTAGCTTGATACGTTCATTATTTCTCAAATTATTATAAAATAAAAATGACATATCATCACCCGGCGCCGTCGCCTTTTAGTTTTATGACGTCCGACAACGTCATTGTTTTTCAATGCCTGCTTCTTCTACCGCATAAACTTATTTTGATGAGATCCCCTAGAGCTGAGTAAGGACTTCAATCATGCTTGTTTATATGACTTTACAATGCCATGAACAGCGGCTTTCAATGCATAAACTATTGCCAATGGATATATACAATGGCCAATGGCAGAAATCCTCGCTAAATTGTGCCAGCATATTTTGCTTTTAGAGTTCAATATCTACAACACATGATCGACGTTAATTTTTGACGTGATTGATTTTTCACACCTTGACTACAAATCGATATTAACTGTGCATCCCTTTTCTCTCTGAATCTATTATGGCATTAAAAAACAAATAATCTTGATGCATATTATTTCTCTTTAGCCAGTTTAAACATTTCCTAGGTGTATACCAGTTTTTCCAGGGGCAAAACTTTACAGAATGTTGGAAAAGGAAACCCCTCCCCCCTTTTGACGTCATTTTCAAGGCAACATTATTTTTGGATACTCCATGTAAAATTTACAATAAAATTTCATAGAACTTCCAGAATGAAGTAAAAATTTAATATTTTATGTAACAGTAGTGTCCTAACACATCCCTGAATTAAGGGGATTTTTGGGTAAAAAAATGTCATTTTCGAGGTTGCGCCACATGGACATACCATTGCTTACAAAAACATTACTAATTTATTAAAAAAGAAAATGTATGAATTGTAATTTATTATATAGATAGAAAAGATGATGATAACTAGATATTTTGAAATTCATTCATGTACCTAAAGCGGTTTTAATTTTATGGCGCTCGTCCACGAACTTTTTGATAACCCCTCGTATATATTTACGAATAAAACGTTGTGGGTTTATCTGAATGTTGAATTAAAGGTAACAGAAACAAACTTCTTTTCACGTAGAAACTTTTGAAAGGAATATATGAATATAACGAACTGTATTTAAGCTCAAATGTCCATTTAACAGGACAAATCAGGAGCAAACATGGACCTCCAAAACATCAGATGTGGGATCGGGTGCCGCGGAGAATCCTCTGCCGATCGGTCACATTCTGCTTTATACGAATATGAAAAATAAATTGGCAATTATATAATTAACGGGGCACAATTTGTACCAGTGGGAAATCCAATAGATGTTGAAGACTTTGTTACACAAAAACTAAATTATAAAGATCAATCGGACACTTCTTGTGTCATTTTTTTTCCCTGTCAATTGGTGTCATTTATATTTGTACTGATTTATCAATTGTTTCAGCAACAAATATTTCTGTTGAGTTTTTCATAATTCTACGAGGGTCTTTCAAAAATACGACGACAATGTTCCTCATCGTCATATAGTTATTACAAGATAATAGATCAACACATTTACGTAAATAAAAACATTCATGTTGTCCAAGTGTGATGTTTCATTTCATTTCATTAAATAGAACTCGTGTTGGCCAATTCTCAAAGCAACATGTTTTGTTACCACGGAGCTAGGTTAACCAACATTTTAACGTCAAAAACAACGTCGAGAAAGTTTCTCAAAATTATACTCTGACTTTTTAATTTCATACACCGTTTGTAGCGTCTTCTCCATTCATGAACACTGAACACCTAGTTTGCTAACAATTGTGCAAGTAGCTTGAACTAGATTGTCAGTGTTTTCAAATGCTTTACCGCGTAACTCTATTAGTTCGTAACAGTGAAGCGCACATCACGTTTAATGACGTTCTTAACTCTTTAGACAAGATTTTTAACTATAAATAACCTGTTCCAGCGTCTGATTCAAACTCGCTACCACTCAAAAATTGTTTGTCCCATTTTAACCAAATACAAGGCTTATTTTTCAAACATTTCCCTAATGCAAAGCAAAATTTCATTAATATTCGCGCTGCTCAGTGACGTCCTCCAACGTCATGGTTTTTTGCCTTTTTAAATCAAGTTCATACGAATTTAAAAACTGATATTTTTTATACGGAGCCACATATTACATTTCCTGAAAGCATTTAAACGTGTAAATTTCATTTTGTTTTAGCCCCATTTATTAGAAGACATAGTCCAATTTTTTTTACTCAAATTATTCGAATTTGTTGTTTAGATATGTGCACCAAATTTAGATATAATATGATATTGAATAGAAAAATTAGAACAAAGTCTATGAACTTTTGGAATGGTTCTCGTATAGGTTAAAATATCGTATTGAGAGAGAGAGAGAGAGAGGGAGGGAGAGAGAGAGAGAGAGAGAGAGCATCAAAATTCCTAAACGTTAAATAATAGAATATCTTAAATGATACCTGCTCGGACCAGTTCACGCCGTATCTACAGTAGGCTGCAAAATGTTCACAATTCTTCCAGAAAACATTGTAACCGATTTCTCCTAATTTCTTCAAAGCTTCTTGGACAATTTTGTGCGCTGGATGTGGTCTATAGAAATATTTTAATAATTATTTGTTTAATGATGTATTTGTTTACAAATACTCAAGTCTAAAAAATGAAATATCTACGATAGCAATCATCAATTTTTAATGTACATTAACATGATCAATCCACATTGGATCAGAAACAATTGCATTTACAAGGGGCACGCTTAAGAGAATAACTATACTTAATCGGGTAAATGAATTTGATAATTTAAATTTGACACATGATTTTTTCTAATCTTAGTAATATTTTAGATGAAACATGGACGATACCGTTCAAGTACATGTATATATAATAAACACAATATTTGTTCAAAATTTTTATGTACTTTACAAGAAAAAAACATGTATTTTGCCAGGAACCTGCATTTCCTATCTTTTTCGTTGTTTATTTTTGCCTCAGAATCCCCAACTACCTTCCAGAAGCTTTCCTTTTTGACCACAGCCTTGTCGAATTTCTTCCCACAAATGGAAAAGACGTGGCTAGGGTTTAAGTTCCCATTGATTCCATCATTATTTATACCGGCTAAATGTACAACCTCCTCGTTTCCTAAAAATTTAAATATTAATGCACTGATTTCCATCTTTTTACCGTGTTGTCCTTTGAATAATGTTTTCTTTTTTTTTTGCAAATCATTTCTTTAAATACAGTTTAAAAACCCTTTAAAACAAAAACATTACACGTGTATTAAATCTATTGAACTATAAATTGTACAACTTCTATTGTCAAATAAGAAGTATATATTTACTTTTCACTTGCTGTAGCTAACATTTCACACAACTACCTCTAAGTAAAAAAACATACATCTATGTCTGAATCGAATCACATGGAATCATATTATTGATGATGGATAAATTCTTAGATACGGGTATTTTGCTTTCAAAATTTGTCTCCACATATTTGCACTACTTGTTAACATATATTTTATCATTTATTTTGTTATTTGTTTTTAATCAAAATTCAAGGAATATTCATGTAACAATTACCTATATAAACAGCCCAGTGCGAGTACACTCCTCTGGGAAATTCCAGTAAATCTCCTTTTTGTGCTCTATTTATAACTTTTCTGTTATGTACTTGTAACTGGCTCATTATGTCAAGTTAAAAATACTAAAAATAAAACAATTTAGCATTAAAACAGTAACAGAAAATAATATGTTGGTAGAAATCAATAGTTTTAGGTAATATAAAAATTTTTGTTCCAAGTTACTTTCATTATCTTTTCACCTCAAGTACAAAACCGATTGATATTTTAGGATGACCATTACTCTGTAATGAATACCATGAATACCATACACATAGAAGTCTTACCTGTTATGTAGCTTTACGTAAGGGAAATAAAGTTAATAATTTCCTCGTCCACTTTGTGATGTACTAGTATGATTTCATGTTAAAGCTTTTAATAGTAAGTATATACATGATTTAAAGAATGGTAACTCCATCGGCTTGGGGTAAAAAGCTGAGTGGAGTGGAGTGGAGTGGAGTCGTGGAGTCATGGAGTGGAGTCGTGGAGCGGAGCATATTGCATATAATATCTCCCCTTCATTGTCATGGATTTGTGTACACTGTACCAAGAATGAAACAAGAAACAAAAGAAGTCCATGCAATCAAAAACTAACGACCTTTAAATGTCAAACAGAGAATCACTTAAAAATGCTTTATATAAACACTATCTAAACTTAGCACGACTGTGTTTGACCTTATTCGCCTATCCCAAAACAGACAAACCTAGCAAGAGGTGTTGACAGCTTTAATATCAAACAGAGAAAGAGCACTGCACTGCAGAACTGATGACAGCAATTTAATGAGAAAGGCACATTGTTTTTTTCATTTTACTATTAAAGTGCAAGATAGCCCTTTTGTTGGAATTTGAAGGTCACATTTTTTCTGTATCTCTATCTTCTTAACAGTATCTTCCTTTTCTGGTTAAAGTAGAGGACATGCAACAGAATAGAGTGTTAAGACTCGACTGATAAATACATTCTAGCCATTGGATCTGTTGAAGTTTAATAATTGACCAGGATTAATTACTAGACTTAAAAAAAATATAATTACCAGAATTGAAAACCTTAAAAAGTAGAATATTTATTGAAATGAGCTCAACAATTTGTGTTTTTTTTTTCATTTTAGAGTACACATTGTGCATTTTAAACGATGACACACAATTAACTTTAAATAAAATTATTTTACCCTTGTTTTGTGAAAAGGGAGCTGTTTTATACCTATACATGTAATTAGTTTCACCAATATTTAATTAAGCTTGTTTTATAAATGTGACTCATAACAAAATTAATACATATGGTAAGTAATGTCCCCACCCTAAAACAAGTGCTTTCCTTTTATTTTGCTGATTAATGTATAACATGCAGTCTATCAACCAGTATATGTATCATTGAGGCAATTATTTATTATTGATGAAAACATTTTGACAGAATTCATTGGGACTTTAAAAGAATGTTTATCCCTATGGCGATGTGATGAAATGTATTTGGTTACTTCTGATCATAAAGATGTGTTGTAAACTAAGTTATTTATATCTTATTGAATAATTATTATATATACTGTAGTTGGAGGGGCAGATATAGTAACACATTTGTTTGTTTTAGTTTGTGTAAGTTAACAGGTGACATCATTTAGATTTTTTTGCTGACAAAAGCAATATACCACATAATTCAGTTCTTTTTCAAGCAAATTTTTATTTACAATCAGCAACTCAGTAAGCATTTCAAGCGCAGTAATTAAATCTGTCAACACTTCTCGCCTGTTGGGATGGGAGTGCAAATGGGTCACTTGGTCTCTGTTACTCAAAACAAAAAGTTATTCCCATTGATGTGTTGACATTTGAAGGTTATATCACCCCCATTTTCTCATTCATCTACAATATATATGAACTATTATTGTAACAGTGTCTCAATGATCACAGACAGCTATAGCTTGGGCATATAGAGTTGAAAAGGAAAGGAGGGATTGTGTTCGATTACCTGAGTAATTTTTTGAATTCCATAGCTCTACATCTACTATATAGTAACGTTCTGTAGTGTTTCCTACAATTTACCAATACCTGCTAACCTCTACTCCCAAAAGCAGAGTTGTAAATATTTACACAAAATGAGAAATAACAAACAATTAAATAAGATAGTTTTACTTTTAAAAAATAATTTAGATAGAGATTGAAAGCTACCGCATTATATAATACAAGTAAAATAAAATAAAATTGATTTGAATGCAATGATTTTTTGACAAATCATTGAATATTTTGTACATTGTAGCAAACCATAAAATTTTAAGAACAACACAAAGTTGACAACATCCTGCTTGAACTAGTCATCTTTTTAAAAATAAAATTGAATAACCAATTACATTTCAGCACATTGCTATTGGGATAAACTTTCTTTTAAATTCTCCATTGACTGCATGTTACATATTGACCAGCAAAATACAACGAAAGGACTATTTTTCCCCATTACTTATGATATGTATAATTTTTGTTCTGGTCACATTATAAAAAAAAGCTTCATCAAATATTGGTGAAACTAATTTTATGACTAATTGTATGTTGTTTTACATCCCTCTCGAGAATTTAAACTCATATTTAGACCCCATCACCTGCGGATGGAGATTGAGCTGTAATTTTTGTCCTATACTCGCACTATACTTGATCATTGAGCAGTGAAGGGTATTTTTCTTGCTAGTAACTACTGCGACACAGTACAATGGACATTGATGTTTGCGTTTTCATCTGAAAGACCGGTCTCTATTTAGTCCCACAGTGGAATTCAAACCCATAATGTAAGGATCAGCTCCTTACTGCGCAACTCAGAGCAGACACTCCAATCACTGTGCCACGCGGGTGACAAAACTAATTATAAGAATGAAGTATCACAAGTTCCTCTTCAAGAAACAAAGGTTCAAAATTTGAAAAATAAGTAATGCATCATCGTTTAAAATGTGTTTCAAAAATCAGACATAGCAACACCAGTTTCTCGGCAAACATTTCAAAAAATATTATCCATTTTATGTTTCACAGCTGTTACAGTATGTGATATGTATTTGTCAGTCGAGTCTATTAACACCTATATTCTGAAGCATGTCTCCTAAAAGGGATATATGCATGTAAATATTTAGATATATATGTTTATATTAGGGATGTCAACGAGTACCCGGTTAACCGGGTACTCGATCGAACGTCCGAGTATCGAATACTAAAATCGGTACTCGGTTACTCGGATGTATATTTTAAAATATTTCTAAGCTTATTTATTTATGCATTAAAATATCGGTTTTAAACGAAAAATGTTCATTGCACTTGTACATACAGTAATTAGGGTTTCCTGAGCCTCCAAATGACTGTTGTCGCCTGTGGCAGTGTTTATACAGTAATTACCGTGACCAAGCACCTGCTACCTACCTGGCTTTTCTCACCTTCGGCCGTCTTCTACCCTTATGTTTAGTTTGCTCTAATTATTTGTTTTCATTGAACATCGTTTAAGGTCTATTATGTTTAAATAAATTAGATAATTTTGTCAATTCTCCAGAAGCCGTAGATTCTCGGGGAAAGAGACAGACGATATTGCACGTGCGATTGTTGATATGGATGCGTTTGATTACGTGCCAATTAATGCAAATGGTTGAATCCAAAGGTTTTAAAAATCTTATGTCCATCGTTGCACCAAACTACAACATACCGTCTCGTAATTTTAATGAAATCAATGATCGAAAAGTGTACGAAGATCGTAAATCCGCTCTGTTAGAACTTGATCAAGTTGATACTGTACATGTAACTCTGACGACTTATCACTTATACGTCAAACGCACTGATAGAGTTACATTACAATTAGGGTACAGATTATTTTTTTTAAAACAAAACCACTGTGAGCCATTTATGATTTTATTTCTCGTATTTATCTGATAAATAAATTGGACTTAAAAAAAAATGTTAGATTGAATTTCGTCGGGCACAAAGTTGTCATAATTGTTACAACACATTAACAGGTAAGCCTCCCATCAGACCATGTGGTTTTTTTTCAATGTTTTACAGTTATCAATTAACTTGTTCATATTTATTTAGACTTTTACCGAGTACCCGGGTACTCGATCGGAAAAACGTCCGAGTAACCGAGTATTAAAAATTGACCGATTTGACATCCCTAGTTTATATACAAAGATAGAGATACAGAAAAAAAATGTGACCTTCAAATTCCAACAAATAGGATATCTTTAATAGTGAAACCTATTTTTTAAAAATATGTGCCTTTATAATTATGTAGTTGTCATCAGTTCTGCAGTGCTCTTTCTCTGTTTGATATTAAAGCTGTCAACACCTCTTGCTAGGTTTGCCTGTTTGGGATTGGCGAATAAGGTCAAAAAGTCTTGCTAAGTTTAGATAGCGTTTATATATTACGTAGTAAAGCATTTCTAGGTGATTCTCTGTTTGACATTTAAAAGTCATTAGTTTTTGATTGCATGAACTTCTTTTGTTTCTTGTTTCATTCTTGGTACAGTGTACACAAATCCAAAACAACAATGAAGGGGAGATATTGTATGCAAAAGAAATTGTTTTGTTTTCAAACTTCCTGTATTGTTATAATACAGACTCCACTCCACGAATCCACTCCATGACTCCACGACTCCACTCCACTCCACTCCACTCAGCTTTTTACCCCAAGCCAACTCGACTCCACTCCACTCCACTCCACTCAGCTTTTTACCCCAAGCCAACTCCATCAGGCAAATATTGATTGATTAAAAATACCATATCATTAAAGAAACGAAAGTAAAGATAAAAAAAACCTTGACCATTAAGTACGCATTTCCGTAAAAATAGCATTACTGGATTAGGAAACTAAATGGCTAGATTTTCCTTTGTTATACATGTATCAATGTCGTTAGTGTTTGGAAAACTTCCTACCGTGGAAACATGGCTGAAATATTGCCAACTCGGCGTTAAACAATAAACAATCAATCCTTCAATTCACTACTTCTTATGATAAACGTGATGACTTTATATTTAACTTACTTATGCAGCAATATACATTTGTCACCTGCATGCGTTGTTTAAATATCTCAGTTGATTCGATACAAAAATATCAGCTGTATTGTTTAAAATCATTATTTCCAAAGTTCTTTGGTCGATACAATGACCTTGTCAGCAAATACAATTTATCATTGCGTCAAATGCTGACTGACGTTTTTCATAATTTTTGTTAGTCGATTATTATACTCTGAATTACCGACGGATTCTTCCGTTATTTCCCGATCATGACAAGGAGCGGGTGTGACGGGTTAGCAGGGGCTGCTCACTTTTCCATGGCACTTGATCACATCATTTGACTCAATGATAAAATGTATTTGCTGACAGAGTCATTGTATCAACCATAGAACTTACGAAATAATGACTTTAAACAAGACTGCTGATACTCTTGTTTCATCAACTTGTTTCTCAATAATTTACCTCGTTTTAGAAATTGTTCATACATAGAGCATGTTCTTGTGTATCGAATCAACTGAGATATGTAAAGTTTTTTTTTTTTAATAAAAACGATTTGAGGCAATGGTCGATGTTTATTTGTAGGAAATACAAGGTGTAGTCTTTAATAGATAGTTTTCATTAACAAGAGTTATTTCCCGTTGGCCGCCATCTTGTGGGTCAAACAGGTAATTTTCCCTCTTTGTCATACCAAATATACGAGGGTGTAGCAGAAATATTTGGGGGAAAATCGTTATGGAATAAACATTATGAAATGAAGGAGGCTCTAACAAATGTATAATTGTCAGAAAAACGATGCTTCCCAGCCCACAATAGCCAGTATAAAAAGTTAAAGTTGGTTGAATTATGAAGGAATATGAGCAGGTTGACCCACAATATGGCGGCCGAAGGGAAATAACTCTTGTTAATTTGGGTCTACTGAAAACTATCTATTTGAAATATGGTGGAATACAGGGATACTTGGGAAATAACATTCACAAAATCTCTACACTTTTTAAAAAAAAAAATTATTGCACAATTCGAAACAATATCTGTCTAAACCGGTTATTGAGGCTATCCAACAACATACTATAAAATTAAAACATATAAGCCTATTAAGTTAAGGAAAATTTATCTTTTTTTTAAATCTGAAATTGCAAAGTACAAGTACGTCCCATATAAGGTCTTTGTATCAAATTGCAAAGTGATAATTGTTAACGAGACCGCTGATATTCTTGCTTCAATAACACGTTTGTCAATAGCCTACCTCGTTTTAGAATTTGTTCATACGTAGAGCATGCTCTTAGGTATCGAATTAACTGAGGGACCGTAGGCAGGTGATAAGGGTATATTGCTGCTTAAGAAAGGGTATTTGCCTTGGCAATTGAAAAGTTAATGTCACAACCTTTATCATAAAGCATTGTTGGTAGATTATATTAACATGTTAAGTTGTTTTCTAGTAAAATATCCAAATATGATACAGATGTGTCAGACTCTGTTGTATTGTCCTCTATACAAAATTTAATTGAAAAATTCAAATTTTTGTGGAGGACAGTATCTTTTATTTCAAGATCATCGTGATATATATTGCGACGTCGTAGACATATCTTTATATCGAGTTGAAGGCACCAGCAAGTGTTTTTTTTTTCTTTTCACATATAAGATTTTGTACAAATTCTACTTCATATCAACATGATGAATACTTTTAAGAAGTATTTTGTTGAAACTAGACCAGTAGTTTTGATTAAAGAGAAAACATGAACATAATTGAGAAAAGAACAGTACCGGCTACAATTTTTTCCCATATAAATTAAACATTTTTTTTCAGTTTTTAAGTTGATTATAAAGCAAATCGTGCATTAAATTCATTTGACAGCGTACAACAAAAAATAACATGGCCGAAATGTGTCAAAGGCACATGCTTATATGTAATGAAAAATACCTTGCAGCAATATTTTCGCTAGAATGGAAGATATAAATTATGAATATTACATATCGCTAATGTGGTAAGGAAAAATTCTTAATTTTACATTCATGTATATATAAGCATATATTTTTTGAAATATCGACGAAAAGTTTATGAAAAATAACACAAGTATTGTCATGAACGTGAGGAACATCAATCCCGATACAGTGATAACTCTTATATTACATGTAATCCCACTTCTTTATTGAAATCATCCAATCATCATGGGATAATCCTGGAATTCATCAGTGCATATACCCAATCACCATGGGACAACCATGGGATTCAAACACGTCGTCATTCATCTAATCAGCACGGGACAATCATGGAATTCACAGACGTCATCGGCGCATTTTATGTTTCTGTGAATCTGAAAAGTATTTCACACAGTTAGTAGCTTATTACATGTACTGTACAAGAATACGAGGTAAACTCACTTATGAGTTTATAAACTGTTTGCTTATAATTTCAATCATAAAAGAATGCCGATGAAAGTCAGCATTCTAGGGTCGTTATAATAACTTTGGAAATAAAAAAAAATGAACACCACCTAAGGATGTTTACATGTTTAAAGGGCTCACCATAGTTTAGTTTTTCTTAAAAAGAAAATATTTTTGAAGTTTTTTGTGATATTTTCTTGTTGACCTTTGATAGCTTATTGTAGTCCCGTAGAACATCGGGATCATGAGTTGACTGAACTTTAAGAGGTTTTTGAGAAAAAAGAGTTTGAAAAGATTCTCTAAAATTTATTTTCCCCCATGAAAGGATAATGGCCCTTCATTTGTACAAATTAAAATTCCCCTACCCAAGAATGCTGCTTTTTGGAAAATTTTTGGCGGAATTGGCTTGGAATTTTAGAAGAAGAACTTACAACCAAACGAAATGATTGCACGAATATTGACGACATGTGACAAAAAAAAAAGAAGAAGAAGAAGAACTGGTGGGTTATACATATGCGAAACACGAAGATTTTAAGATCTCAATAGCATATGGCACCAATTATCAACTTCCACTTTTTCAAGAACTTTGCAACAATTTGTAAGTTAACTTGAAGGAATTTTACCATTTTATCCAAGTTTGAAACCCTATATCCACAAAACATGAAAAGATACAAACGCAACAATACATGTACACTGTATAATGCTGTTTAAAATACTTTCAGAAATTAACAAGGATTTCTAAAAAAAAAAAAAAAAAAAAAAAAAAAAAAACTTCACAACAATATGGAATATTCTGGTATTGTCCATTTTGCCAAATGTTACAAGGGCAATTTTTTTTGAAATTCTAAAGCAAGGAAAATCCCTAAAAAGATAAATGTCACTATTAATACATGTAATTGATTGCCTTATATTTGTGGGTCTCCTTCTGAGAATAAATAGACCAACCTGACCTTTTGAATATCAATTTGGTTATATTTATTGGAAAGTCAATCCAACATTGTAGGAGAATAATAAAGATATGTCTCCGTCAGTTAAAAGTGATCTGTTTACCTGCTCTGACTTCGCAGTTGCATTGGTAGCAGATGAACCAAATGACAGCAAATATGATCATCACAATTTTATACAATTATATTGACTAACCCAGTAGCATGAGCCCCCAAAGAGCAACCAGAAGGGAAAACAGAGAAAGATTAAAAGTGGATCACTACAGCGCTTTATGGGCGTGGTGTAGTTGTGGATAAAGATCTCCATGTGTCCGAAGTCAGTGCTGCTGCGGGAACTATCCCAGTAAAAGTATGGATCCACCACTCCACTGAACCACTGTTGAACAGGAGGACCAAAATCCAGCTGCAAAATTTTCTCCGGTAAGCTCAACATGTGATGGTCATTCTAACTTGCTGTTTCCCTATAGACATCTAGGGAAATAAGACTGAATACTCTTCTAAATTTTCATCATTGTTAAAAGACTTATAAAATGTGATTTTAATTTGATAACAGAATTCAAACAAAATATCAACATCAAAACATAAAAATATATTTAGACAAGAAATTTCAAGTTAATTAAAAAAGATCATTTTATGATCGGAACTGAAACACATGTAGTGACAAACAATCAAGTTTTCTTCAAGGTTTACAATTTCAAAAAAAAATCATAAGATACGACTAGAAGGCATGGCCATGTCCTACCTTTAGACAGAACTTTTCACCCTCTTGCATTTTCTGTGTGATCTCATTGAGCTTGTGTGAGAGGATTTCCCGAATGGATTGATGTCTGGTGTTTACGAGGACGACAAACTGCTCTACATAAAAGACGGAGATACCAAACTGTAGTAGAGCTAACCACTGAAATAACAAACGAGGACAACAAACTGCTCTACATAAAAGACGGAGATACCTAACTGTAGTAGAGCTAACCATTGAAACAACAAAAGGGCCTAGTACCCACTGTTGAACACCCCATCCGCCACGTGCCCCTTGTCATGATATGAAAATGGTTTAGACAAGACCTGTGCTGATTATAAGAGTCGTAATATTCGTATTGAAAAACAATGAAGGTAAAAATAACATTGCTCAATTTTTAAAAAGACTTTAAAAAAAACATATATCAATGTTGAACATTACAGTTGCACCCCAAGAATATACCAGAGGTGTGATCATCAACTGGTTACACGTGTAATATACTATGTTTGCAATCAAAGTAAACACACGGACCATTAAGACCTAAAATTTAGGAAATTGTGCCTTTAAACAAGGCTGATTTAATCTCTTTAATATAAAGCTATTTTTCAGTAGCCTACTTGTCCAGCTCCTCGGTCCAAGTATGACCTCACAGTCATTTCTTGTTAGGTGCGTTACTTTGACGTGGAATAATATAGGCTTTGTCAAGAGATCATTTCTCAGTCGCTGTAGTTCTTCTAAATTATTCACCTTTAACTCTCTGTAATAAAGGAAGTAATGAAGCACATAAATATGTGATACCGTATAAGTGGAAATTTTATCGAGACGCGAATTTAGCGATTTCTACCTAAAATCTCGTGTTTTATTTTAAGGAAGAAGGTAAAGCAATTTTAAAATGCTAACTAAAGAAACTATTACAAATAATACGCAATTAATTTTTAGCGATATTCAAATTTCAATTTTAGCGATGTCAGCACCATCGCTAATAATGCCAAAATTAAATCCTCACTAAAAATTCTACTTGTACGGTATTAATTTCTTAATTTATGCATATAATTTTAATACAGCGTTAAATACTATGCTCACTCCTCCTTGGCATCTGATCCCACCTGATCCCACTTTTGATGTGTTGGGGGCTCGCATTTTGCTCTGCTCCTGATTTGTATTGTTTAATGAACTTTTGGGCTTGAATACTGTTCGTTATCTCCATATATTTCAAGGAGCACACGGCGGGTGTGACCAGTCAGCAGGGGGTGCTCGCGTTTTATCATTAGAGGTTGCTACAATGCTCACTCCACCATGGCACCTGATCCCACCTCTGATGGTTCGGAGGTCCGTGTTTGCTCTGCTCCGATTTTGTATTGTTTAATGGACTTCGATATTTAATACTGTTCGTTATCTCCATATATTTCATAATAAGAGTAAGGAATTCGTGAAAACAGTCTAATTTAATATCTTTGGGAGTCTAATGCTGATTAGTTTCTTTCATGGTTTCCATGTTTACGTATATAAAGGGTGTTAAGAAAGTTCGTTCCACATTTTTATTTTATTTTCAAAAAGAAATACGATGAGAAGATGTTTACAATTTGTGATATTTCATGTTTACAGAGTCCATTCTTGCTACTGATAAGGTTTTAACTATCTTTTGTTGAATCAATAAAGGGAGGGCAGGTATTAAAACAGATGATGTTTGTTCAGAAAAATCAGGGATGACGCACATTTGTGAGATATGGTAGGCATACAGGTCAAAACATCCTTTCAAATACTATTCAAAAATTGTCAAATCTGTGAAATATTTCAAAATGACAAACCTATTCTTTTGAAAAGTGATATTTCGTTCTTATACCTACGCTCATCAGCTTGTCTGATACAGATAAGCTATGAAGAAACAAAAGTAAATTATCCTTTATTTTCACTCAAAATGACCAGCATTTCTATCATTCGGGTGCTTTAAAGATATTATATATTTTTCATATGGAAGAAAAAATTCTATAATTTTCTGCTAGAAATGAATTGCTATAAATCTAAAGCACACTCTTGTGATTTTGTCAGACTTGAAAATTCATCTCTTTAGTAAAGCACTACTTTGAAATTTTTGAAAATATTTCATCCCGGAACGAACTTTCTTAACACCCCTTACGTTAATTGTATTGTTTCCTTCCCCATGAAATTCTCAGAATCTACCATATGGGCCAATTATACCCGTAAAGTATAAATCATCTATTAGATGCCCCCCTTTCTTACTTCAGTTTTGAGTTGATCCAAATTCCTGTCATATCCAGAACACGGTCCGACGGATAGCTGGTGCAAAACAGATTATATAACAGTTGTGGGTTTCCTATAAATTTTTTCCACAACATAACGGTGTAGGGTGGGAACTGCGACAGGTCGACATCGGTTGAATCCATCATAAAGAGTCCAGGCCTAATCACAGAACAGTAGTCCTTCTAACAAAAAAAACTTTTTTGCATAAGTTTGAAAATAAAAAAAATCTCTTACGACAAATCTTAAGGAGGGATTCGTCCCATTTTTTGTTTGCATTTAAAAACTAATAAAAGTATCACAGAATTATGAAGACATCAGAACTATAAGTGGTGGCATGAATTGTTACTATCTTATTGGAATTCATTTATCTATTTTTTTTTTTTTTTTGAGAAAAAGAGTTTTGAAAGAATTTTTTCACACATTCTCAATTACCTCCTCTTTGAGGAAGGCATATGCTGGTTTTCCTCAGAGACCCTTTTTAAACAAAAATTACCTTCAAAAAGTGAAGAGTAGATCTCGAGTTCTGCTAAAAGGAAAGTTGAATGCAAAAGTGCAAACGCGAAAATGCTAAAAGCTCCTTTGCATTTCCACTTTAGGATCTAAAATCACGCTTCGCCGTTGCTTGTTCCTTCGCCCTCACAGTTTTGCATTCTCGCACCCTCGCCCAAAAGGCGAGTGAGAGAGTGCAAGTGGTTCGAACGGAACACCATAGTTTTCAATTCATTCTTTCGATACATTGAGGTTTTTTTTTTTTTTTGATAAGCAATATAATGTGACTGTGTTCGTCCAACAACATATTTTTTAACGGAAAGGTTCCCGTTTTCATGAATTCCTATTATTTTACAAATCAATGAATTATCAAATCATTCAAGTCGAAAACTACATTAATCAATTTGTTAAAATATTTGAAAGGAATGTCATGGGGCCTTTCAAAATTAAATCAAAAGTTGATTCATAGTCACATACCCTAGCAATAACGAGATACTTAGCCCCTAGACACGATAAAAAGAAGTTTGTGTCTGTAGTATTTATTTTGATGAGCAAACCTTTATGTTTTCTCTACTGTACATATAATGAGGATTGCTCTGAGGTATTCACTTTTTTCTATTTTAAATTTATATACTCTATTGCTCAACAGAATATTACAACATGTTTATATTAAAACTTACCTGATAACATTAACAAAGTCGAGGAAAAAAGAAGTGAAATACAAGTAAGCACATGCAACGGCCGTCTTTTTTTTTTTAAAAGATAAATCAAAATATACCTAAATACAGATAAGGGAGAGAAAATCGTTAAGTTGTGAAGCAATGTCAAGTATTTGCAGATAAGCAAACAAAGGATTTTGAAAATAAATTGCAGTATTGCAGGGTGGCTTATAATACAAAATGATATTTTATTCATTATCAATTTATTATTATACTAAACTTGATACAGTTATTTGTGTTTGCATTTCAAAGAATTTTGATTTCCTTAAGTTTTCTGTTAATAACTTTCTATAGGTCGTCTTTAAATCATTTTTTTTTCGGAAATAAATGACAAATATACTTTCAATAGAAGCAATAACCATGAGAGACAATCAGTGGAGAGCATGAAATAATTGGTAAAGATTTTAAAAAATTCATTTTGATGTAAGGCTAATTATTTGTATGATTATAATTTAAACATCAAATTAAAGTGTGAATTCTATAAGAAGCTGAAACACATTTCAGAAATAACAAAATGTCTAGAAACAATATATCACTGAGATTTTTAAGTTGAAAGGAATATACCTTTGCAATAGTGATTCTTTATATGACATCCATACGGTGATCTATATGAGTGAAAAATTCTCGAGAGGGACGTCAAACAACAAACAATCAATGAATCATACGGTGATCATATTTCTACTTCCATGTGACTGCCAAATAAAAATAGTGGGTTCTGCTTGTATAGAAAATTCTTATGATAACTGCATCAGAACAAGATGTGTTTGTGAAACACAGATGCCCCCGTATGGCAACATAGCGAAGATTAAACTTTTCTTAATTGCAAATTTATTTGTACCAAAAGTAGGGTATTCTCACTGAAAATACAATTATGAAATATGAAAGTAGGCCAAGGTTAAAGTTTTTTCATAAGTATGGAAATCTCTAAGGTCAAGGTCAAAAGATCAAGATAATTGGTATCCAATGAAACGTCTTGCCACAAAAAATACATATGTGAAGTATGGAAGCCCTTTGACCTTGACTTTAAGGTCAAAGGGTCAAAGGTATTGAAAAGTATTATATATTGTCAAAAGGATGAAATATGTAAAGTATGAAAGCACTAGCCTTAAACCTTTAAAAGTTATGGTCAAGTTTTCCTTTTTTAAAAGTAGCTCAAACTCCAAGGTCAAAGTTCTTGGTATCCAATGAACGGTCTTTTCAGAAGAATTACATATGTGAAGTATGAGATCACTAGCCCTTAATCTGTTAATGTTCTAAAGTTATGGCCAAGGTTTAACATTTTTCGTAAGTACAGAAATCTCCAAGGGCAAGTCAAAATGTCAAGGTTGTTGATATTCAATTAAAGGTCTTTTCACAAAGATTACATACGTGAAATATGAATGTCCTGGTGTCTACTTTTCAAAAGATATGGCCAAAGTAATGGTTTGGAATTTTGGTGTAAAAGTGGGTCAAACTCCAATGTCAAGGTCAAATTTAGTGGTACCCAACGAAAGGTCTTGTCACAAGGAATACACATGTGAAATATGAAAGTCTTAGCTCCACTCAATTAATAGTTATGGGCAAGGTTAAAGTCTTCGAAAAAAAAAATGAAAAAATCAAAAAGATTTTATTAAAAGGAGCCGAGAAAGATGAAATTTGAAAAAAAAAAAAAAAAAAAAAAAACAAGATGTGTTTGTGAAACACTGATGACAACAAAGCGAAGATTAAACTTTTCTTAAGGTCAGATGATACAAACAATTTTTTTCTTTAGAGGAGACTTAATACCATGTCACAGGTTTAGAAAAGTGGATAATTCTTAGAATTTTTTATCCTAAGAACTGATAAATGAAATAGACTTGGAAGATATTAGTAATATTTTGATAAAAATACAAATATGGACAACCCACACTTAGTAAAGGTTTACAGACGAAATCAATTTTCAGAATATGTTAGATTGGTGCTAAGCGTGTTATATAAACTTTAGAAAAATATACCATTCCAGGTGAACTTAATTAGGAAAAGCAAAATGGTAAAAATCAGCCTATGTGATATTGCTGATTTTTTGTCATTTTTCTTTCCCTCATAAAATCCACCTGGTTTGGTATATTTTTTTAAAAAGTTTATATTACACTTTTAGCATCAAGCTAACATATTTTGAAATTTGTTTTCACCTGTAAACCTTAATTGAGTATGATTTGTCTTTATTTGATATTCCATTGAAATTTTGATATTTTCCAAGTCTGTTTCATTTTCCAGTTCTTAGGAGAAAATATTCTATGAATTATAAACTTTTCTAAACTTGTGACATGATATCAGGTCTCCTCAAAAGAAAAAAATGTTTGTATCATCTGTCCTTAAATAAAAACTAAACTTATACGAGGTTTGCAACTCCAGGCTGCAATAAACTCTATTCGTAGTTTTCCAATTTTGTTTAAAATATCACCAACCTTGCCATTAGAATAGAAAAAAATAATTAAGAAAATGTTGCTGTCATGTCACCATTCTTTCAGAAGTTTTATTTTAAAATTAGTTTTTCACGTTTTCCATTTTTTATGTTCTTAATTGAATATTCAGATGATCAATATATATATTTTGCGCTGTCTGAATGCAAATTGAGACAAGATGTGTTTGTGAAACACTGATAGGTGCGTATGGCGAGCCCGGGGTTGAAGATTCTCAAATGCAAAAATCCAAAGGTCAAGGTAAAATTTATTGGTATCCAAAGGAAGTCTTGTCAAAAGACATACATCTGTGGAATACGAAATCCCTGGTGCAAACTGTTCAGAAGTTATCACCAATGTGTTTAAGTTTTTAAAAAGCTGTGCTAAACTCTAAGGTCAAGGTCAAAAATATTTATTCTCATTGAAGGGTTTTGCCGCAACGAATACACATGTGAAGTATGAAAGTCTGTAGTACTCACTGTTCTAAAGGTTAAAGTGTGGTATTTTTTTTTTGAAAATTTTAAACTCTGAGGTTTAAATTTTGCGGACAAATAAATACTGTATGTACAGGGTTATTTTCGCCACATGTTATTTTCTGCCTTTCATACTTTCAAACAATTTAGCCCCGTTTTATATTCGCCCATTCATAGTTTTGTCAAAGAAATTATACTGTATCCTTTGAATTCACCCCTTTTCAATTCGCCCAAATGAGGACAGGGCGAAAGGGGTGAAAATAAAATGGGGAGATTATATCCCTTTATACAGCAGACGAACGGACAGAGTACTTGTGTGTACAATCAGAATGTCTTTTACAACATATATTATGCGTAGATCCTAATACCTATAATAAATGTTTTGAAATTAATATAGGTTTAACATATTTATAATGTTTATTGAAAATTTCTGTTTTATTTGTAAATCTTATTAGGACTTATCTGTGGACTATTCGTTCAGTTGCAAAATAACGTTTTACGGAATTTCAAATTCCACCCGTTTCTACTCTATTATATAGCTGTGAGACGCTGAAAGAGTTATGGAACTTTGTTGACAACGCTCATCGTTTGATTTTGTCGAGAAAAGGACAAGTCTTATGTGGAATGTAACCAAGAATATCATACATTGGATATTTTAGGTATTTTTCATCTATCTAACCCATCGAGTAGTCTGCATGTAGGGTTAAACTTCTATAAAATCCAGTTACTATCAATAAGGCATATTATATATACATATTTATAATCCAAGACGCAAGTACCTGTGATATAGATAAAAAGCCAACACACTGAGGGAGAAATAAAGATAATTACTCTAAATTAGGGCATAGTTCTAAAAAATGGATGGAACTGAAATTGGAGATTAAATTTAACATAATGAATGGTAGAACAATATGATTTAAGGCATGGTCCTGTGGAACTACATGGAAGTTACGGTTAACGCTACATGTAGTTTTCAAATTTTTTTTTTATAGAATTGCATCTCACCTGAGCAAATCGGAATCAGATCAGAACTGAAAAGTTGACTGAAGGGGGGGGGGGGGGTTGAATTTTAATACTTCTTGAGAATGCCTTCATATTACAGCATACAGCTTTGCTGTTCTTGATAAAAAGATTTTTTAAAAACATTTTCTTCCTATATATTACTTCGTAATAATTTAAATTTGTTTCCCCATTGTTTCCCTCCCTACCCCAATGGGCCATGATTTGGAACAAATTTAAATCCTCAATACATGAGGATGCTTACATGTCAATATGACTAAACATAGCTTTTCTGTTCTTGGGATTTTTCCCTATATTTTTCTGTGAATCTTTGATCCACCATTGTGGCCCCACCCTACCCTTGGGGGTTATGATTTGAACAAATTTAATTCTACACTACCTGAAAATGCTTCCATATAAATACTAGTATCAATACTCATGGGTTTGCTATTCTTGAGAAGAAGATTTTTTTAAAAAAAAATATTTTAATGTAAAACTTGAACCCCCCCCCCCCCATTGTGGCCCCACCCTATCCCTGGGGAGTTATGATTTGAACAAACTAGAATCTACACTACCTGAGGATGATTCCATATAAATATCATTAATCATGGATTTGAAGTACTTGAGTAGAAGATTTTAAGATTTTCCTATATATTCCTGTGTAAAACTTTGATCGGCCATTGTGGCCCCACCCTAACCCCTGGAGTCATGATTTGAACAAATTTGAATCTACATTACCTGAGGATGATTCCACATGAGTTTCATCTTTCCTGGCCCAGTGGTTCTTGAGAAGAAGATTTTTAAAGATATTTTTTATATACTCCAATGTAAAACTTTGAGTGGCCATTATGTGGCCCCACCCTACCCCCGGGGGTCATGATTTGAACAAAATTGAATCTACACTACCTGAGGATGCTTCCACATGAGATTCATCTTTCCTGGCCTAGTGGTTCTTGAGAAGAAGATTTTTAAAAAAAAATTCCTATATATTCCTATGTAAAACTTTGATCGACCATTGTGGCCCACTCTACCCCTGGGGGTCATGATTTGAAGAAACTTGAATCTATACTACCTGAGGATGCTTTCACATGAGTTTCATCTTTCCTGGCCAAGTGGTTCTTGAGAAGAAGATTTTTAAAGATTTTTCCTATATATTCCTATGTAAAACTTTGATCGGCCATTGTGGCCCCACCCTACCCCCGGGGGGTCATGATTTGAAGAAACTTGAATCTATATACCTGACGATGCTTCCACATGAGTTTCATCTTTCCTGGCCCAGTGGTTCTTGAGAAGATTTTTAAAGATTTTTCCTACATATTCCTATGTAAAACTTTGATTGGCCATTGTGGCACCACCCTTCCCTCGGGGATCATGACCTGGCCCAGTGGTTCTTGAGAAGAAGATTTTTTTTAAATGCTATAATTTTTTCACTATTTCATAATTATCTCCCCTTGGAAGAGGGCGTGGCCCTTCAATAGAACAAACTTGAATCCCCTTCACCAAAGGATACTTTGTGGCAAGTTTGGTTGAAATTGGCCCATTGGTTCTTGAGAAGAAGATGAAAATGTGAAAAGTTTACGACAACGAGGACACCGATGACGACGACAGACGACGGACAAATTTCGATCAGAAAAGCTCACTTGAGCCTTTGGCTCAGGTGAGCTAAAAATCAAAAATTAAACAAATTACAATTTCCTAAAAATTTGAAACTTCAAAAAAAATTCTTTTCAAATAATGACTGAAAAAAAATATTTGGGTAGGACCCGTATTTTTAGTTGGTCGGTAGGCAACTGCAAACAAACAATATTTTTATTTTAGGTCCAAAGGTTTTCGATCCGCACCGGTCCACGAAGAAAAATATAAATCTTTTGAAAACATTCTATGTCTGAAGAACAGCTGGGCTAAAGTTATAGTTGTTGCATATTGTAATCGTTATATTTGTTCTTTTTTAGAATCGGTAATTTGGGTACGTAGTCATGAACTGCTTACATAACTGGAAAGTTCTAAATAAAGCACGACCTGGGGATTTACTGGAATTCCCCCGAGGGGGGGTGTACTCACACTGGGCCGTCTATGTGGGTAATGTTCATGGAGTTCTTTTTCATTTCAATTACATTTTATTTTTAATTAAAAAAAATCTGATAGGTATCGTTGTCTTAGCATGCTTTGCAAATAAAAAAAAATCATATAAAATACTATGAAAATGAATTTTCATTATCAATACTAGTAGTAGAAAATCTTTCTATTGAAATCGACTAGTCCTATTTTTCCTTTTGTGTGAAGTATTGTTTTTTGTTAGTTTCTTTTACATTATGCTTAGGTTGGAAAACACATGAAACATAAAAATGAAAATTGTCTTTGACAATGAAAGACAATATATATAAAGTTTAATTAAAAAATTGACTAGAAGAGCTAATTAAAAGTTAATGTAGATAACGGTATATTCTTCTTTCACAAAAATCAACAGGGGACGAAGAGGTTGTACATTTAACTGGTGTCGATGATGATGATGGAATCGATGGAAACTCAAACCCTTCTCATTTCTTCTCCATCAGCGGAAAGACTTACAAAAAGGCTGTGGTCAAATTGGAAAACTTCTGGAAAGTGGTTAAGGATTCTAAGGCCAAAATAAACAACAACAAGGACAGGAAATACAGGTTCCCAGCAAAATTAGTTATAAATATCTTTCCAGTAAAGTTTATAAGAGCTTTAAGAACTTGGTTTTAAAAAATAGTGCAAAGGAATCCTCTTCTTTTTGCACTGTACAGCAAAGTGGTAGTTCATATTAAATATTTCGTAATTTTGTTTTTAAAAACGAAAGTCATTCGCCCTATTTATTCTCATACAAGTGTTTCACATTCACATGCCAAAATATTCTCCTCAATACAACCAATAAATGTATGATTTGAAAATTGAAACTATAGGCCACGCCCAGCACGTGAAATAGTTGAAAGAGCCATAAGAAGCATTGGAAAAACCGGATACAATCTCCTCTGGAAAAACTGTGAGCATTTTGCAGCTTACTGTCGGAACGGGGTAGAGTGGTCTGAGCAGGTATATATCCTTAATAAAAGTCTTCTGTAGTTACAGATAAGTGCGTGGTCGATATGTTTTACTGTGAAGTCGAAAAATCTATGGATTGATCGAATGAAAGGGCTATATTTCACTGGCGGATTGTGGGGGGGGGGGGGGGTAGCGCACGCCCCCCCCCCCCCCTAAAATTTTCAATATTAATGCCATATTTTGGTACATAACCAACCAATGCCACTATTTTTTTTTTACCGGGTTTAACTATTAAGATACACAAAAATCCGGGAGCTTCGCCTCCCGGTACCCTCCATTAAAAGTGTGATATGACTAAATTACCTACATGCACGGGTTTTAGATACGACAAAATAATATTTTGTGTTATCATGGTAACTATTCGGAATATTACCACCATTTTTTGTAAGAAGATGTGATTTAATTTTGTATATTGAATATATAAAAATCACTAAAATGTCGTAAGTGGTACTTACGACCTTACTATTCCACAGTGTCACATAAAATCGGAGACAGCACTCGCTTACAACCAACTTCTTAGGATGAACACGAAGCGGATGGGTGGACAGTTTTAATTACCTACTGTATCATTGAAATGACATAAATATTCCACAGTGCAATATGTACAATAGTTTATTACGGATATTTCTATCATATTTTTTTCAAATGGATTATGTTCTTTACGTATTATTGAAACCTCGGAAGTGCCACTTACGACCTACAACTAGCTGTTTTGTTGCGTGATCATTCAACTGTAAGGTTGTAAGTGGCAGTTACAACAATTCATATTTGTATTGGATAAATCTCTAAAGGTCGTATCTGCAAAATATTTGCTTGTATTTACTATTTTCATGCATTAATTGCTTTAAACATGTTTTCTTGCGTCCTAAAAAGAAAATAAAACAACCTTTAACTTTAGGTCCACAGTTACGTAATATATTTTTTGAAAAACAGTTTTTACTGCCCCCTGTAAAGTACCAAAATTCCACTTACGACCTTTCATTTCCACAGCGTCGTAATATTAATAATGCCATACTTTTTAACATCATGAACCAATACCACTTTTATTGTGCCTGGTTTTACTCTTAAAATACGCGAAAAGCCAGGAGCTTTCGGGGGCTTCGCCCAAGACCTCCTGCCTGAACGAAATTTTCCACACACCCACCCCCTGACAAATCATGTATCCGCCGATGTATTTGTTATACATTTTTATATCCAGTATTAGTAGAGTTCATTTATTTCACAAAAGTGACAACAATATACATCAGTTTAATTATTAAGAGGCTGTCCAGTCTAAGATCAGGCAGGGAGTGGCACATGCTACCTCTCAGATTTTCATGAAACTTTGTGTACAGGTTTAGTCTGACCCAAATGTCAAATTTGTCAAGTAAAAAGTTTCTACCGCACACAGTTTAGATTTACTGGAGAATAATTACTGTATAGCCATT